CCAACTCCCGAGAGTGGATTAAGTCTGCCAATCTCAACATTCTAAAAATAGCTATTGTTCTATGAGAGTCACAACCTATGCGGAAAGGCATCATGTGATCAGCGTGAGATTTATTTGCAGAGAAGTCTAAATAGAATAACATCGAAGTGTTAAAGTGTCCTGCAGAAGGTTTCTCATACTGGCCATATGAGTTCTTACCCTGGCCAGCCCAAGTGGCTGAACACCAGGACAAACACCTTTTTAGGTATATAACCTAAGGTGGGGTCAGAAATAAATACATACATTTGCACTCTATTTAAAGTCTTCTAAATTGCACTCTTAACAACTTATCAGGCCACTCTGATGTCGTGCAATCAAGATACCTACTGTGAATTTTAAGAATATTAAGACCACCACTATTCTCGAAACGAAGGTCGACTGGCTTCTTTGGGAAGCTCAGACCATTCTATCCGTGAATTGTGAAGGAATTCCAACAATATGACCGATCCGACCCCGTCTAGAGGCCACCGATGGTCATATAATGAAATCGCCGAGGCTTATCAGATTTTCAACCGCACCTTATCGACAATACTGCAGACGGAGATCAGTCAATTCATTGATAAGCCGTGGGAAGCTTTTGCCGCACTGCAACGCAAGTTTAAAGCCCTGGCCGAAGATGCTATCCAGATATTAGAAGGGAAACTGAACTGCATCACTCAAGAACGAAACGAATATCACGGCAGTCTTATCGGTCGTCTCCACACGGCATTTGTGAAATTTTAAAACGCCGGAGGATCGAAGTCCAACAACAGCCTATGCGCTATTATACGGCAGACTGTTAACGACGATAATCAGACTGTTAAGATTACGTTGAAGACACCCGCTATGATGGCCATGTCGTATGATGAGCTCACCACGTACCTCATTGCGTTGGATCCAGACGAAAGTGACCCGTCAACCGTTGTGCACGGAGCACATGCAGCTATATCGACAATATTGTGCATTCTGCAACAATCGTAGACAACGATAATCATACTGTTAAGATTACGTTGAAGACACCCGCTATGATGGCCATGTCGTATGATGAGCTCACCACGTACCTCATTGCGTTGGATCCAGACGAAAGTGACCCGTCAACCGTTGTGCACGGTGCACATGCAGCTATATCGACAATATTGTGCATTCTGCAACAATCGTAGACATTCCATCGGGTAATGCGGTAAGCTACAAGCGTTAATAAAATCATGCGTTGCTGGGTACGCAGGTAATCAGTGTCGTATACCTTACGATCGACAGATTGACAAGTCAGGTTCTCGTCACGACATGAAAGACTACAGATACATGTCCAAGAATAATGACAAGCATATCCGATCTGATTCAAGTCGTGGCTACCGTACACGTGAGGAAAGATACAACAGAAACAAACGTTACCAACAACGCTACGATACTCACGATGATTATGACCGACAGTACTACCGAGCAGATAGATACAATCGACGCCACTACGACGATGGTAGATATTTACGAGATACCCAACGTTCACAAGGCAATGACAAAACATATCGATTCTAGGGCAATCGACACCAAGCTCATGAAGACAGACAGGACAAAGCAATGTCAGCACAATGATCAGCATCTGCTAACAGACAGATTGCATTCTCCACAATTAACCCTACAATCGCTACGATAGTCACGATGATTATGACCGACAGTACTACCGAGCAGATAGATACAATCGACGCCACTACGACGATGGTAGATATTTACGAGACACCCAACGTTCACAAGACAATGACAAAACATATCGATCCTAGGGCAATCGACACCAAGCTCATGAAGACAGACAGGACAAAGCAATGTCAGCACAATGATCAGCATCTGCTAACAGACAGATTGCATTCTCCACAATTAACCCTACAATCGACTACAAAGAGGTGAACGATCAATCAGACAGAGATTCCAGAGGTGGGTATTGACTAGCTTGCGATAGTTGCGCCACCATACACGTACTTCCCTATAAGTACCACAAGTATCATCTCGTCCGAAATATGCGCATTAATGACCGATATGCGCTCGAAGTACCTGATGGTACAATCATTTATCCAAAGTATGTGGCTCAGCTGGAAAACTTTGGGGACGTACTCATCGATATGACATTCAAACTGCACTACTACGTATCAGCCTGCTCTCAGCGCGACACTACCTCATTTGAATTCACCAACAACACTGATGTACATTTTACTACCAAGCTTTGACATGAAAACCACATAATATACTGCGCGCACATCGACGACATAGCTATGACTACACTGGAACCATCGCTGGAGCAAACAAAGAACGACAGCACGAACCTGTCACAGCGACTCTCGAGTTAGTCCTCGTGGATAAAATAGGAACGTTAATGAGATCCAACACCTACTCTGTATCAATTATAGACGACTTTTCTAGCATGGCCAAAGAGTAAACAATCCGCGATCTGAAAGCAACTACAATTCTAGACGCTATGTTACATACATTCGATGAATGGTATATTTTAACTCATCGCCGATTTCAGTGCATACAAATGAATCGAGGCTCACAGTTTACTGCAAACGTAACTTGGCGTATGCTTGCGTATTTGGGATACTGTTCAAGGTATGCACCTACGGCCACGCCACAATACCGTGGCAAGGTAGAGAGGCTGCAAGGTACAATGGTCCCTAGAATGCTTGTACAACTAAAGTATGCACGTCTACCGAGTACTATGTGGGCTGAATCACTGATCTAAACTACCATTATATACAATGCTATACCCTCTAATGAGAAGAGCTAATCCCCATACGAGAAATTCGCGGGATACGCATTTTTGATAGATATATTCAGAACATTCAGGTGTCACATCGCATACAAGAAGCGTGATCCAGACGGCAAACTCGACGATAGAGCACTAGATGGCATTCTTCTTGCGCAACCCTTGGACACAACACCGGACTTGTATCGTATATACTCATCTCTGACCAGGCGTATACTACAAAGCCGAGACGTCTATATATTCGAAGACAAACTCTTTCTCTGGGAAGACAACAAATGTACAACCGCTATTGCACCACCAGACACTACGAACAGCAGTACATTCCTCCAAATCGAGAATGGCGATTTCTAAACCGACGCAAGGACAACATCGACAACGGAAGATATGCTTAACCAACGAGCCCAGCCAATTATGACACAAAAATCGAGCAACTCAGAATAAGTACAAATAACTTCGCCGTCAACACAACAACCTGCTGAGAGCGAAGTACATATCGGTGAGTCGGGGGCTCCCGCAGCGATTACCAAAACGCAACACGATCTTAAAGCAACCATAGCTAGAAGAACGGCAGAAGGTTGCCAAGTCCCTCGAGAACTGCGGGTCCTTGCGATAGATAATAATAATGTCAACTGGTACCACGACAGCCGCCATAAAAAACTAACTCCCAGCACTACGCACACTGTTAATTCAGCAACTTCAGCAAAACATACAAAGGTATATTTGAGATGTCAAGGAGGAATCAGCACGTTCAAAGATGAAGAGCTTGGTGATACAGCGGAAGGCATTCACTCTGGTTGACAACAAACCACTGGTAAAAAATCTCTATTCCCCCCTCGATGGGTATTCAAGACAAACCCAGATGAATCAGGACAAGTCACACGACTTTAATCACGTTTGAACGTAGCAGCATTCAACGCAAAAAAGGGAGTCGATTGCGATGGGAGCTATGCCCCAGTAGTACCCAAGGAAACACTTAGGACCTGTCTAGGTCTAATGGCACACTACGGCATGGACATTCGACAACACGTTGCACCCTCGGCCTACCTCACTCAAGAACCGGATACTTCTAGCTACATGCGAGTACCGCAAGGATGAGACCTCGTTGAACGTCTACTTGATCCGTCCCAGAGACAATTTTACGAAATGCACAAACAAGGAAACACAAAGGTCGTATGTCGAGATGACCGTTGTGTATACGGCCTACCAGCTAGCGGACAATACTGGTTAAAAGCTATTCTATGTTTTGCTATACTCTACCATTATGAACAAACACAATTGGATGGGACATTGTTCACCAAACAAACCCACAGTGGACCGTGTTTCATTATTGTACATGTAGCATGTCAGAGTAAGACTGACGGACAAAAACTAGCTGACGCAATGAAAGGCGAATGGAAAACTGTCGAGATGGGCATACCGTCGTGGTTTCTCAAGTGCAAAGTGGAAATTAACCCTGGAAGAGTACGTCATTATCAACGACAATACCTAAGAGAAATATTGCAGGAATGGGGATTGATAGACTGTAAACCAGCATGGGTGCCAATTCTAGAGTCGGACTATGAAGTAACAGATAAACACACATATCTCCCAGAAAAAGCGGCTAGTTTAGACGTCCCAACGATCCCACAATACAACAAGCTAATGGGTCAGCTACGATACCTTTCAGATCGAACACAAGTGGATATATGCTTTGCTGTTTCGATCCGAAGGCGCTATCTGTCAGCACCACAGTCCCACCACTTTAGAAGAGCCAAGCGCTGTTTGAAGAATCTCACTGGTACTCAAGACTTCGGTCTCGAATACACGAACAAAGAACCATGTATTCTTCATCTGAGTGTGGACAGTAGTTTCGCTAGCGATGACACAACAAGTGGATTCTCCACCGGGCGAGTGGGCATCATAGCAGCCGCACCGTTCATGTGGGGAACAAATTTGCAACAGCTAGTAGCAGTGTCTACAACAAAGGCAAAATACGTCGCACAGTTTGATACAGCCAAAGACGCAGCATCGGCTAGGAATCTCTTCACGGAATTCGGCATTCCACTCGTAGAACTCAACACCATAGAACAGGACAACAAGTCAGCAATACTAATGGGGAATGGTATCAGGAAATCCCGCTCTATGGCTTTTGGTAATGGTGGTGCTGGCTCTGGTACTGTATTCACTGCCTGTTCACCACTGGCCAAAGCCCTACATTCCTTTCAGGGATCAACTCTGAGTTGGAATCGCCTGGGATGACGGAGGATCTGTGTCCTCTCGTTCATGTCTATTGAAGACTCCCGCACACTTAGGAACAACGATCGGATCGTCCGCTAGCAATTCAACCATAGTAGAGAACCATTCGGCCCATGACCAATATGGGCACACCAACGTGCACCATACTATTCCTTCTTTAGCCTTCTTTACAACTGCCGATAACAAGGTCCAGGGAGGGTTTAAGAACCAGTTCACACTGGGATCTTCCCAGTAACGCACAAACACCCCGCCTTACAAACTAGGAACACGATAGAATGGTAGTATTGCGTTTCCAGGCAAAGCAGATCCATCGACCGTATGCAGCCCCCAACGTTTTTCTGCCTGCCGAAAATATGATGTGAGATAGTATTCCTCCGTTGAGGGCATAGATACTAGATACTAGAGGATCAGCAAAATAGACTCTAAGATCTTCCTGACAGCCTTTAACTCGCATTATTGGGTCAATAGTGACAAATAGCCTGGGCAACACGTCCGCCACTGGGCTCTCAGCGCCAGGCATGTGTAATAATTCTACGTTAAAATCCCTTATAATATCGTAATAGCGGTCTATCCTTCTCCCTCTGATATCATCCATGAATAATTCCCTGGGTATGGAAAATATGGTCACTAGTGGTTGATGATCGGTGTAAAGTTGAATAGCCTTTATCGAGCGGCAATGTCTCACATTCTTCCTTATGCCATATACTAATGCCAATGCCTCTTTGTCATTTATGTGATTTGATTTCTGCGCAGCATTATATCACGACGAAAAGAAGCTGACTGGAAGATAGCTGTCGCCCCTCAGCACCGTATGAACCCCCCCCTCCTCCAAACGCCGGCCGATCCGCATGCGTCTGCGAACATCGCCAATTGTTCCACAGGTAAGGTCTCTACAAGTATTGCACACTGCCGCAGTAGCTCCCCTATCTGGTAGAATGCTTTGCACTGTTGTTATTTGCATACAAACATACTATTTTCTTTAAGTAATATCTCAACTGGCTGGAGTATTCTGGCAAAATTAGGCACATATTCTGCCCACCAATCTATTTTATGGTACCAAGACATTAGCAAGTCTTTAGAAGTAGGCTCAGTGAGCTCTGGTATGGCATGTGGACGTACATCTCCCATAGTTGATCCTCTATAATCCAACAGTCTACCAATTATTACTTCATGCGTCCTATACTGCGCTACTATACACTTGGAGTTGCACGTTTAACGCTGACACCTTTCCATAAATAGTTTTAAACATGACAACGATATGTCATCTATGTAGCACATCACATCACCTAGTCCAGCAAATATCTCCTCCAGCACTTGTTGACACCTCCATGATGCCTTTTTCAATCCAAATGGCATTCTCACGAACCATATCCCCCAAACGGCG